CCTTCCTTCCTTCCTTCCTTCCTTCCTTCCTTCCAATGTCTATGGGGAGCTTCCTATGTGCCAGGGACCTTCCAGGCCTCGCAGCACCTTACCTCCTTGGAGAGGCCCCCCCCAACCTCATCTTTTGATGCTATACTCACCCCCTCGCCCTGACCACACAACGCTCAGTTTCCTTCTCTCTCTTCCTATGAAGCCCTATGGCCCTCTGTCCCATTTCCTTGTCTTCTACTTTATTATCTGGCCCTTTCCCGAGAGAGTTAGTTCTATGATCCTAGAGATCGTACCCTTAGATCTTACCCATCATCTAAGGGAGTGTCAGACACTTCATAGCTGAGAGAAAGCAATGCAGCGGATGAGTGATGATAGCACTTCACCCTCCAGCGTGGCTTGCTACAGAGCCTCCAAAGCCCCAAGCCCCACTTTGAAGGCAAGATCCTCAAGACAGCCAGCCTGCCCCTGGATTTCAAGCCCATGTTTTATCCTCATACAAGGCAGATGACTTTGATAGGACAGACATGCCCTGTGAGCCAGCTGGGCCCTGCACCAGACTTCATCCTTCACAGGCTCTGTCCTCCCTGCAGGAAGGGGCCTGCTAGCTGCCTCTACCACACCTTTGCCTTGGGTCGACCCTCTTCTGAGAACCAACATCCATCTCCAAGTTCTTGAAAAATTTCTCAGAATCCTAGACTTTTCTGATGTCAAGTGGACAGATGCCCTGGAATCTTCCAGACCAGTGATTTCCAAACTCAGCGGGGCTTCTGGATCCTCTGGGGAGCTTGTGTCATGCGGATCCCTGAGCCTGCTCCATATATAATAATCAGAATCTGCACTTCCATATAGCACCTCGCATAATTCTTGGCAACTGGTCCATGGGTAGGAAATTGGGATCCACAATTTTAGAACATTTGGGGCAATAGACTTTTGAAAATCTGCTCAAAGGGGGATGATGGCAGTGCGGGTCATAGGGAGAGAAGGGACTTGGTCCAGTATCATTTTACAGTCAAACCCATTAATTTGTATAATTAATATGTGCCAATAATAATAATTTTTAAAAGAATACACATAGAATGTTACCTCCAGTTGCCCCAGGCACACAAATGAGGGGTGGGGAGAGCAGCTACTTGTTCAATGACAACAGCAGTTCAAGGGCAGAGTCAAGGAGAGGTCTCTCGGCTCTAAGGACCTGTTCTTTCTTCTTCTGAGTTTCTACCAAACCCTAACCAAGCCCCTCATTGATCCATTGTAGAAGGAAAACAGCAGTTTTTGATGCCCATTTCATAGTTCAGACAAGTTGAAGGCAGAGGGAACACTAAGCTGACTTTCCCAGGGTCACTGTGTTGGCCAGGAGCAGCCTTACTGGGGGCTCAGACGCTAAATGCCATCCCTTCTCCCTTCCAGGTGGCCCTGCTCAGAGCGCATGCCGGGGAGCACCTGCTGCTTGGAGCCACCAAGAGATCCATGGTGTTCAAAGACGTGCTGCTCCTAGGTGAGAAGCTGCCTGCCCCAGCCAGCTCTGTGCAAGGGGCACACCCAAGCAACAGAGAGCTCTGTGGTGGGGCCCTCAGGGCAGGGCAACAGATCAACACGGCCAGGTTGTCTCTCAGGCTTGTGAGAGAGGGTTCCAGGACTCGGTTCTCTGCTAGATGCCCCACTCAGACACAAGGAAGTGTGGATGCAAACAAGGAAATCTCCCAGGTCTTGAAGATGGAGCTCAGTCAGGGTTATCCCTGGAATTACCCTTGAATTCTGACGTTCTTTCTGGACTAGGAACTAGAGGAGGCCAGGAATGGCACAAACCCCCATCCGTGTTTTCTGTGCCTTCCTGACATATTTATTATTTTAAATGCTTTTAAAAGCACACTTCTATGCCATGGACTACACTGACTACTTCACCAACTTTATTTGTTTATTTATTAGATACAGGGAGTGAACCCAGGGAAGCTTTACCACTGAGCTATTTCCCCAGGACTTTATTTTTTATTTTGAGACAGGCTGTTGCTAAGTTGCCCAGGCTGGCCTTCAACTTGCCATCCTCCTGCCTCAGCCTCCTGAGTTACTAGGATTACAGGCGTGGTGGCCCATGCCCAGCATGTAACCTCTTTTAATACAATAACCCTGAGAAGCTCTATTACCTATCCCTATTTTATAGATGAGAAAACTGAGTCACAGAGAAGTTAAGTGGCTTTTCTAAACACAGCTGACCCTAAGTGGCAGAACTGCTCAGCCAGGGCAGTCCAGTTCCAGAATCTGGTCCCTTATCCATGGACATTTTTATGCCTCCAGGTGGCCCTTGAATGGACTCAGTCTTGAGTCCCACTGGCAAAGGGAGCTTGGGTGATATGAAAGGGGTCCTAAACATCCCAGTTCCAAGCTCAGCCTACTGATTTCTGGCACCTCGACCTCTTCCCCTTGGCCTCAGATCTTGCATCTGTGAAATGGGAATGACAGTCCCTGCAGGTCCTCCTCCCGGGTACCACTTGCATTACCACCTACAAACCCCAGCTTCAGGAGAGGGCTCGACCCGAGGTGACTTCCCCATCCTCTCTCCCTCCCAAACCACCCAGGCAATGACTATATCGTCCCTCGGCACTGCCCGGAACTGGCGGAGATGAGCCGGGTGTCCATTCGCATCCTTGATGAGCTAGTGCTGCCCTTCCAGGAGCTGCAGATCGATGACAATGAGTACGCCTGCCTCAAAGCCATCATCTTCTTCGACCCAGGTACCACCCACACTTCCTAACCCATCCTTGATGCCCCAGATACTCTGTCAGACTTCTCCTGCTGGGTTCCTGACCTGTCATGAGAATCAGGAGAGATGCTTTCCATCAACCCCATTCAATAGATGAGGCAAGTCAAGGTTCAAAGGGATAATGGGACTTGGCAAGGCAAACCGACTCCAAAAGACTGGGTTTTTCCTTTCTCTCCCTTCCTTTCTTCCCTTCCTCCTTCTTTCTCCTGATTTCCTGTCTTCCTTCTTTTCTTTGCTTCTTCCAAAATTTTTTTGAGATACTATCTACATGTACTGAAAATGCAAATAATCTACCCTCTCAGACCTCACTTTTCCATAGCCCACTCTCCAAGAAATGCATTTCTGATTCTTTTAACTGATCCCTGTGGCAGTCATCTCAACAGTCTAAAATAAACTATGAAGCCTTATATTTCCGATTTGGGTTTTGGTTTTTCGCAGTCCTGGGAATGGAATCCTGGTTCTTGGGCAAGCACTCTCTCCCGAGCTACATTCCTAGCCCCATATTTTTTACTTTATTTATTTTAGATCATAGTTCTCCTCCCATCCTGGCTAAGGATGCTACTCTTCTCCACCGCTGTTCCCATTTTTCTCCCCCATCTTCCCTATATATTTTTATTGCTGTGTTCCTGTGTCCACTCATTGCCTTTGGAGCTTTTGGATGTGTCTCTCTCGCCTTTATTTATTGTCCTATCAACTGTCCACAGAATCTTCTGACCCTTCACTTAGCAGGGTCTCTTCTCCTCTCTCCATTCCATCTGTTGACTTTTGCACATGCATTTTTACAGAGTGTGAGTCACATCTGTGAGCAAGGTACCTTGACATTGTGAAGGTGCCTCAGCCCAGAGACTTGCTTGCATCCCTCCTCTTATCCATATTAGAGAGTTCCTAGAGGGTGCTGGATCTGCCTACAGAGATCACCTCTAATCATCACAGCAATGAAGGGGAAAATGACCTCCATTTATTGAATGTTCACCGAAGCACAGTTTTAAACACTTTATGCACATCATCTTATAACACGGTGTCTATGAGGTAGGAATTATTAATGCCCTCATTTGCAAATAAGGAAACTGAGACACCAAGATCAAATGACTTGACCAGTCAATCATTTGATTGGTCACACAACCAGGAAATGGCTGATTTGAACTTTAGACTATCTGTCAACCTCTATCTCTCAAGCCCATGTTCTTATCTTCCACACGCTATTCCCCTTTCCTGGAGGGTGAGAATTCTAATTCTGGTTTTTGCCTAGGGCCTAGCTGGGGCTAGACCTAGGCTGGGCAAGTGACATTTACTGGGTAACACAACTGGGTGACTGGTGCCGAGTCAGAGTCAGCAGCCTGATTTAGCGGGCAGGAGCTGCTCCATGAAAGTTTGTCAACTGAATAAAAGAATTCACAACCTTGGGGCAGTGGAGACAGCCCACTGGAAATGTGGGCAAACTCTTCCTGCCACTTCCTTTGTTCATGAGAGAGGAAGTAAATGTATTACTTCCATGAAGGCTGAGATGAAAGTATTGATGACTTACCTCCGCTTCTAGGATAAGGATCTAGAATTTAGTCAAGGATTTTTTTCATTCATCCTTTCCTCCATCCATCCATCCCTTCATTCAGTTACCTACTCAACAAAGATTGCCTACACATGGTAGTGTTAATATGGCAATGAAGACATGCTTGCCCACCTGGAGCTCAGGGTCTAGTGGAAGAGATGGTAACATCCCATGTGGGCAGTAGTGATGGAGGAGCCACAGGACCTTGGGAACATGATGGACACACAATGTAGACCTAGGAAACCAAGATGGAGGAGACTTCCTGGAGATGAAACCTTGGCTGAGTCCCCAGGTGGCAGCAGGCAGGGAAGCGGAGACTATCTTAATGTAGCAGGAGCAGTATGTACCAGGGTCCAGGTGGCGGGTCCTCACCTGTGGGTCAGGAGCCCAAGTCCACATCATGGCTGGTTGCATGACCTGGGCCAAGTCCTTTCCTTGCTCTGTGCCTCACTTTCTCCATGTCAAGATGAGGAGATGGCCCAAGGTCTCCTATTGGGCCTGTTCCTGCAGTCCCACGCTCTGTCCCCTATTCCCCATTCCCACAGTTTGCTCTCTTAGGAAATGTACCTTGGTTGTAGAAAACCCCAAATCTTTGCCCCAAAACTGTTAAAGAGTCCCTGTGTGATGTTGGGTGGCTAAGCCCAATTTGGGCCCCACAAGTCAGGGAACGTCTGCTGCCCGTCCTGACCACCCCTTTCCACTGCAGATGCCAAGGGGCTGAGTGACCCCGGCAAGATCAAGCGGCTGCGTTCCCAGGTGCAGGTGAGCCTGGAGGACTACATCAACGACCGCCAGTACGACTCACGCGGGCGCTTCGGGGAGCTGCTGCTGCTGCTGCCCACGCTGCAGAGCATCACCTGGCAGATGATCGAGCAGATCCAGTTCATCAAGCTCTTCGGCATGGCCAAGATTGACAACCTGCTGCAGGAGATGCTGCTGGGAGGTCCGTGCCCAGCCCAGGAGGGGTACTGGGGGCACCTTTCTGGGAGACAAGCCTCCGATAGACCTGAGCTCAACTCTGGGCTCCATTATTGATTCAATTGGCTTTGAGCAAGTTGCTTAAACTGCTTGGGCCTCAGTTTCCTCATCAGAAAAATGAGAAGAGACAGAGATGCATTTGTTCAGGCGCTGGGAGCCTGGCCTTTGTCAGTGTTTGAAGTGCTGGAGACTCAACAAAGGGCAGATCTCTGCCCTCCTGGAGGATGTGCGTGCGTGCGTGCGTGCGTGTGTGCGTGCATGCGTGTGTGTGTGTGTGTGTGTGTGTGTGTGTGTGTGTGTGAGAGAGAGAGAGCTCAGGGCGTGGGCATATGCTGCTCGCATGCACACAGCTGTGTGTGTACAAAGGCTCGGGGGACAGGAAATGACCAAGTATGTAATAAAGAAGGTAACTATAGATTTCGAAGTCAACAGATATATGATAAAGCTTAACTGAAAAGATGCTTTGTAGATGGGTTTGGTCAAGGGTGACCTCACTGAAGTGTGATTTCTGTGATGTAAAAGCTACGGGAACATTCCAGGCAGAAGCTGCCCTTGAGGCAGAAGAGGTTTGTGTGTTTGAGAAGGAAGGGCAAGACTGGGACTGGGGAACTGTATGAGATGCAGATGGAGATGTAAACCAAATCATAAACAGATGGTTGTAGGCAAGTCAGAAATTTAGATCTAACTCTCCTTGCACCTATTGTAAGTAGACTGAAAATCAGACTGATGTTGAGAAACACTCTGACTATTGGGTAGAGAGTAAATTTGGTGGTGGGGGCGGTGAGGTGGAAGCAAGAGACCCCTGAGAACGTTACTCTCTGCAGTCATGTGAGGGACAGAGGAGGCCAGGACTGTGGCTATGGCTCAGTGGTAGAGCACTTGCCCAAGCATGCACAAGGCCTGGATTCCATATCCAGCACAAGGGGGGTGGGAGGAAACAAGGAGAGTTCCAGAATCCAAGAGAAGAGTGTCTTTTCAGGAAGGAAGACAGGATATTTAATGGTGTAAAATTCTACCCTGGGTTTGTGGGGGGAGGGAGAAAAAAGGGAGGAGGGGCAGCATCCCCCGGATGGCAATGTGAGGGCTCTGGACTCTTATGCTTAAAGCAATACTAAGCATTAGTCTGAGAATGGAATCCACTTGGAGGGGTGGGTGAGGAAGTGGGCACCGGGTGGAGAGATTTTGAAAATGCTTTATTCTGAAGGGGAGCTCTGAGGGGGTTGGGGATAATTAAGAAGGAGTGATTGTAATGATGGACCATGGATCTTGGCTGGACTGGAAGAAAAATGGAGTTGTAGGTGCGAGACTGGGAGTCAACCAATGAATAGCCTCCATAGGGTTGAAAATTTTCAGAGATGATACCCCATGGAATGAGCTAGAAGGATGGGAGGCAAAATCCAAGAGAGGGCGTCCGCTCTGGAGGCGTCCGCTCTGGAGGTTTGGGAGATGGTGATAACGTGCTATGGGCGAGGTTTCTCAACCTCAGCACCACCATGTTTGAAATTGGATAGTTCTATGCCATGAAAGGCTGCCCTGTGCGGGTTGAGCTGCATCTCTAGCCTCTACCCATGAGATGCCAGTGGCACTTCTCCAGTGGTGGCTACCAAAAGCATCTTTAGATATTGTCAAATGTCTCCTGAGTGAACAAAAATCATTCCAAGTTGAGAACCACTATCAAATGGTAGCTCATTCCGTTCTCACACTGATCCTGTGGGTGTGGGGTTATTATGAAGCACGGGTTACCAAGATCAGCATCAGGAGCTTGTGGTCTGTTGTGTTGGGTAAAATAATCCCTCTGGCTGCTGTAGAATGGGAAGTGATGGTATCCAAACTCCAGGTTTGTTGTGAGCAATTAATTATGTAAAACATGAGAAGTGCTTTAAACTAGTACCAGGCACAGGATAGGTGCTCAATAATTATTAATTATAGATCAGATATGCCTTGAAATCCAAAGTCAGTCACATTAATGATTATGGCCTATTGTGCCACCATACTTTATATATTATTACTCCTCCACTCATTGTTTGAAGCAGTTACTGTGTTCCTGAAACTTCACTAGGCCCTCAGAGAAAAAAAAGTAAAGAAATATATACCTATAATTGTAACGCCCATAGACAGAAGTGTTTTTTTCCAAAAGTTGAGTTATAGATAAATTACTGTGGATTTGGATTGCTCCCAAATTGAGTAGCAGATAAATTACAGTTAAGGAGAAAAAGAAGAGTGGGGAGATTCAGAAGAATCTTCCCAAAGGAGGAAATATCTGAGCTGGGGTTTGGACTTATGGAACTTGGGTGGAGAAGGCATCCCAGATGGAAGACACAATGTGAGAGAAAGCTCAGAGATAGGAAAACATGGGGGACACACAGATACTCCAAGTAGGTCAGCTTGGCTGAAGCAGAGTTGGAAGATGAGGCTGACAGGTGAGTTGGGATCAAATGGTTGAAGAACTTGCAGGTCAAGGAGCTTTGAGAGCCTTTGATTAAACCCATTCTATGACTATGCAACCAACACCCTCACTATATTTAAGTGATCTCAGAGTTCCTTATATGCTCTTCTTTCAAGTCACTTTTACTCTGTTGGTATTTTGGGTCTTCTCAATCCCATATGAAGCCTGTGGACAGGAATGGTGAGCCCTGGTTTACTAACCCTGGAATAATCAATAGGATCATCATTGTTGGATGGGCAGGTCGATGGACCACACCTGAGAAGGACGGTGTTTCGAGGCCTGTGGTCCTTATCCCAGCTTCTCCGACCTGATTGATACCCTCTCTACTTGCAGGGTCCTCCAGTGATGCACCCCATGCCCACCACCCCCTGCACCCTCACCTGATGCAGGAGCACATGGGCACCAACGTCATTGTTGCCAACACGATGCCCACTCACCTCAGCAACGGACAGATGTGTGAGTGGCCCCGACCCAGGGGACAGGCAGGTGGGCAACCTGGGCTCTACCGAGGATGGGGCTAGAAAGGAAGCAGAAGTTTGAGTCTAGAAGGTGAAACTGGGATACAACTGTTCTCTGTGTTCCAGAGTGGAGAAGGAGGGGTGAGGTTGTCCATTTATTGAAGTTGTTTAGTCAATGAGGTGATTGACAACTTCTACCAAATGAAACTGTCCTGGGAATGAGGCAATTCATTGGATGAGGTTACCACTGGGTGAGATTTCCATAAGATAACACTGTTCACTGAAATTTGGCTGCCCAGTTGGGTAAGGCTACCATTACACAATTGGAAGAGACAGTCCATGGGTTAGGGATGTCCTCTGGGATAGACCATTATCCGAGGTGAGTTTGTCATTGGGTAAAGCTCTCCAAAAAAATTAAATTATCAACAGAATGAAGTGGTTCATTGCAATTAAATGGCATTTAATTGAAATTGTTCTTTGGGAAAGTTGTCCATTGAGTAAAGCTAGCCACTTGGTCAAGTTATTCTCCAACCTGTGATGGAAATGGGGCTAATTAGTTTCTGTTACCCATCTCCTAAATACGGGTGGTAGTTTCTGAGCCATTTATCCCTGGGTCCCATTGACTGCTTCTTTCTCTAAGAAAGAGTACCCCTACCACACATCTCATTTTCCTTGGGGACAGTCAGACCTAGTCCCCCATTTGGGAGAAGCAGCTCAACCCTCCCCGTTATTTGGTGGAGGAGGTGGTTGGAAGGACCTTCCAGATGTCATAGAATGTGGATTTTATAGTCTGGAATCCATAGAAGGGTTGAGTCATCAGACCTCAGGGACCATCTAGTTTCATTCTCTCATTTTATAGAAGAGGAAATTAAGCCTCGAAGTGAGGGAAGAACTTTCCCAGAGCTCTTCTCTTACTCTCAAAGGACTGGAATTTTGAGCAGCTCCTGTCTATTTCTTTGTCCCTTCAGCTACCCCTGAGACTCCACAGCCCTCACCGCCCGGTGGCTCAGGGTCTGAGCCCTACAAGCTCCTGCCAGGAGCCATCACCACGATTGTCAAGCCCCCCTCTGCCATCCCCCAGCCCACCATCACCAAGCAAGAAGTCATCTAGCAAGCCACTGGGAGTCAGGGCTTCTGCTGGCTCACCCCAACCCCCTCAGAGAGTTCCTGGCGACCACTTGATCACAGCAATGGAAGGCGTGACAACAGGGCCAGTCCCAGAGCAGCAATGGAAAGAGCAAAGGACTGAGAATGTGGGCTGAGGGCCACACTCATTGCCACCTTTGACCCAATGCTCTGGCCGACAGAGCTTTAACCTAGAGAGACCCCGGCTGGGGAGTCCTCTGCTGACTTGGATGACATTTCTCATGCTGAAGCCAAACTTCCTTCTCCTTCATCCATATCTACCCCCAAAGAATACTGTCTGAAGATAAGATGGGACCTTGCTTAAACACAGCTCCCCTCCCCCCAGCTGGGACTTCTTCTCCCCTGGGCCTGGGCATGGCGCCCAGACATGGAGCCCTGGAAGTCCTCCTCCCTCTTCTGCTGCCCTCACCTCAAATGCCCCTCTCTGCCCTCTGCTGTCACCTTCCTCAGCTATCCCATCTTCTCCAAAGCCACTCTCCAGAGGTGGAGGAAAACTTGAAACCCCTCCCCCAGCCACGCCAGGAACATCTGGAGGCATTGACTGGGGCTAGGCAGAGGGCAGGAGACGATGGAGCAGGAAGACACCATTCTTCTCCCCCGACCCCACTGCACTTCCCTTCTCCAGAGACTGGCATGGGTGTTCGGAGCCATGGTCCCTATGGGTCTTCAACAATGAGAGGACAGTCCAAGATAAGAACTGCCACAGGAACTTGTGGGGAGGGGGCAAGTGGCCAGAGAAGGCATCCAGCAAGAGGCAGATGGGCTATGCACTCGGCCTTTGCAGAAGGGCAGGCTTCTGGCTGGTAGAGCAGGGGAGACAGGATGCTCCAAGAGAGGCCCAGAGACAGGGAGGGCGGTGTGGGAGAGAGGCACCAAGGTGACTGGGCTCTCTGAGCCAAGAGGGTGTGTTGGGGAGCATGGGACCTTGAACGCCAGACTGAGGAAGTAGCCTGGAGGGACGGGAGAACTGGGCTGTCAGGAGATGAACACAGTCTCTTAGCCAGAAGGTGGGGAGGGAGCAGGGAGGTTAGACAGGAGCCCACCATGCAATCCAGGTGAGTGCTGAGGCCTCAGATGGAGAGGAAGGGGCAGGAGAAGCCTCAGGCCAGGGTCTGTGGAGGAGCAAGTACCCTCACTCAGGGCCTAACTCAGGCTCTCCTTACTCCCAGACACTGTCTTAAGGCATGGGACATCCATCCTCTCATGGAATCCTCCCTAGGACCTAGAGACTGTTACAGAAGACAAAATTGAGTTCTAAGAAGTTAAGGGATGTTTCCCCCCCCCCCCTGAAACTCACACAGCTAGTCAGTAACTAGGTCAAGATCCAAGTCCCTCTGAATCAGACTAGGAACCCCCTGCCTTCACTACGATCAAACTGAGAGAACCCCAAGGCTCATTCCAGAAGCTCTTCCTATTCCCAGGATTCAGGTTGATTGGAGAATGAACTGAAATCCAGCCAGGGCCCAGAATCCTGTTTGCTGATAAATATTAAGGAGAATTCATGACTCCTGACCCCTTTTTGCTCTTTGCTCCCTAAGCTGGGGGAGGGGCAGCAGGGGTCTGGTTTCTGGGGGACAGACAAACCTGTCTTTGGTCTAGGGGTGGATAGTTGGGGTGAGGAAGAGGGGAGGGATAAGAAACCCCGGGTTTCAGATTTTTTTCTCTGAGGAACGTCATTCGAGATACGTTCTGGAAACCTTAAATCCCAGGATGGAGCAACCAGCACTCTCAGAATCTTTATGGCTTTGGGAAGATTCTGGAAAATGCCATTGACTGGTGCGAATAACAGGGATGTTGTCCTGGGGCCAAAAGTGTGATTAGCTAGGAGAGCAAACTATTTGATGGAGCCCACCTTCCACCCAAGACTGACCCTTCTGAGTGGATGGGGAGGATACTCTCATGCCCGGAAGTTCCACCATATGTGCTTGTTCCTGTTTGCTAGAGAACATGGAGAAGTATTGGAGCCATATGTTTAAGAGCAATCTCCACACCTCTGGGGCTGTCAGAAGCCAAGTCCAGATCAGGAGGGACCATCTCTTGCTCAGAGCTCTCATGTCTTCCTCAGTCACCCTCACTCCAGTGCCTCAGAACCCCCAGCCAGCTGGCCCCAACAGGTCTGCACAGGGCAGTGAAGCTGGGATCATTCTGGTCATCTCGGTCATTCCCACTCTGTTCCTCCCCGCCCGCCATGTTGCTTAGCCTCTATCTTGGGATAAGAAGTTCCCATGGAATGGAGTGGGGTCATGGTAGTCTTTAATGGTAGCAATTTGTGGGGAGGGGGTGGGCAGGAGACCCATCCTTGGCCCCCCATCCACACTTTTTAAAGGAGAAATCCATTCCACATGACTAACTTTATTGCATTGCAGGAAACACAAAATAAAGACACGTTTACTTTCCTTATTTTAAGATGAGGACAGTACATTGGAATTCGTTTTTCTGAGTTGTGGTCCTAAAACATAAAGTCTGATGGACTCGAGAAGGGTTCATAGGGGGCAAATGTGGGCCTATAAATTCTCCTCCAAAATCTCTCTTTCAGGAGGTTCTCAGGAGCTTCTAGAGTCCACACAGCTTTTCTGAGAGCAGACCCAGGAGTGGAGAGAGTTGAAATGGAGGCTCCCCAATTTCTTGCAATGACCAAGCCAGTTCTTTGCTAGATGTTCCTGTGATCTGCCCCAATTAAGATAAATTGTGAAGTTCACATCTAGCAATTCTGGAAGTGGGCTGGATCCCATCAGAGTGATCTGCATCTTCCTGTAGGTGTATGGATGTCCTTAGGTCCTACGCTGATCCCCAAGTCCCTGTCACTGCTGCCTGATGGGGCAAAGAAGCAAAAAAACATTTCTTACTCTTGTGTGTTTTAACAAAAGTTTATAAAACAAAATAAATGGCACATATGTTTTCTAAGCCCTTGTGTGGGCGTCTTTTTTTTTTTTTCTTCTTCAGGTGTTTGAAATAAGAATAAGGACAGTCCTAGAATCCTTTACATGGACAAAATGCTTTGATATCCATTATTTTGTTTTCATATCAAGATGTAAGCACATTAGACCTTATGATGTATAAATGAGGAAACTGAAACTCAGGGAAGTACTTTTCCTTTAAGAGGCAGAGGTGGAAATCCTACCTGGGTCTCCTGAACCCAAATATTCAGTATACAGAGAGTGAAAGTTGACCCCTCTCCTGAAGAGGAGAGGGATAAGAGAGAGGGTGATGGAAAGATCTGGAAAAATAACAAGAGGGTCTGACACCTGCCCTGTCATTAGGGTCCAAGATGGAGTCCTTCTCTGGGTCACCTCAATCTGCTGGCCATAGGAGATACATAGACATGGGGACATTTCATAAAAGCAAAACTTGTTTTGAAAAAATAATAAGATCAAGGAACATACCCAAGACTCTCCAGCCCTGTCCATGACCACTTTGGTCCTTTTCCATTGGGAGATGACTTTGTGTCTTGGCCATCACAGGAAGTACTGGAACCAGCTTGTGAGAGCCAATTGTTGGCTTGTCCCTAACTCTGTGTTGACAACATGAAATCAGCCACAGCAGAAGGCTTCACACGGTAACTGGCAAATGGCACAAACCAAGGCTTTTTTTTTTTTTCCATGGAGGACCTGTTGTTCCGGCACAGCATAGTGGCACACAGTGATGACTGAACTGTGGGATGTCTGGCTATGGTGACGCAGAGGGTAAAGTAGAGGGACCCTCCGTTCTTCCCAAAGGAAGGGGACAGCTGTTCCAGTCTGGGAATCACTGGTCAGTGTAACTTGGGCAGGTCTCTCCACTTCTCCGAGCCTCATCTGTAAAATGGGAATGAAATCTCTCTTTAGAGATGTTGCTGGACTTTGACCGAATGAGCTAACTCTAAGAGCTACTCTGATGACCAGCACACGTGAACTTCATGCAGCCTTTTTCTGGTGAGAGGCTAACCATGAAGCTTCCCAGCCTCAAAAGCACCCAGTATCTGCTTGCTTGATCCCTAGGACCACTTCTGCCTTCTCTGTCCCTTCTCTCCACTCGTCAGCACCAGGAAACATTTTCCATGATGCAATGGAGGCCCTGTCTGTGCCCTGCCAGGACGGCCATGGGGGTGGGGGCCAGAGGAGGCTATTTCAGTCCTAAATTGTGCTTAATAAATCCATATCAAAACCATAAACCCTGGGCTGCCATAAATTCTCCTGACCTTGGCTCTTCCACCTCATCAGCCCTTTGCCCCAGTTAATCACAAATCTTGGCGCAAGGCGTCACATTTAGTTTCCATTTCAGTTGCTGAACGTCAGCTTTAGTGGCAAACAGAAAAATCCCCATTTTTAAAGATGATGAAATCTAGACTCAGAAAGATGAGGGAACTTGTCCAAAGCCACACAGCCAGCAGACATTGGGCCAGGACTTGAGCCCAAGCCTCGCTACCAGCCCTCAGGGGCTAGTTGAGAATTGGGCTTCCAGGAAGGCGCCTCCTTTCAGCTCTTTTCCACAAGCTGATTCCATGCTTCTAGAAGCTTCTTCTCCCATCATCCCCAGGAGACAGCCCCAGTGCTCAGAGTGGGAGCCAAAGGTAGAGGGGATCCCAGGTGACATGTTGCTGGAAGGGTCAATGACTGTTCCATGCAATGTGAATGATCTGTCATCCCAAATTGGTGAGGTCTCCCTGCTTCCTCATTGGAGAAGCCAGGTCACCTTTGATCAGTAGTTCTCAAATCAGTATGTCATATGTAAATCCCAAGAGGTGACCTAAGAGATCTGAGTCCCAGGATCCCGCTCAGGTGTAGGATCATGAAACTGAACACTGAATCATGAAGCCAAGGACTGTTTACGGAGCTCTTCCTCTTTCCCAAACACTGCTTGCCTCAATTTACACCCACAATAGCCTTCGGAGGCAGTTATTCTTGTTCTGTGTTACAAACAAGGAAACCTGCCTCAGTAAGAGGAAGGGACTTGCCCAAGGTCCTTCGCTAGAATGACAGCTGATCAGATGCTCACTGTCTGACTCCAGAGGCCACCCCAAGGGGATTGAAGAGGACCCTGATGATTCAGGCGCTGTGTGATGGGCACAGCAGCAAACACAGGGGAAAGTCCATCCTTCAAGAAAGTTGCTGGGCACAGTCCTGAGAGGAGGCCTCGTCTGGGATTACAAAGAAGCAATACCACGAGGTGCTTATGGTTTTTACACATGAAGGGGGAGGTAGCAAGCAGTTGCACCTTAAGAACTAAGGGGGGAAGAGTGACGCCCAGCGAGCCGTCGGAAGGGAGTGGCGGGCACTTGGAAGGAACGTACATATGTACACGCGCTCTTGCTACTGAGGCCCTCTGGGCAAATTAAATCATAAATGTGAGAGGGATTCTACGTGAGGGAGAATCTCTGTCACTGGCTTTGAAGATGAAGGAGGCCTAGGCAAGAATGTGGATGGCCTCTATAAGCCGAGAGTGACCTGTGGCTGACAACCAGCAAGGATTTCTGAGCTTCACCCTCCAGCCATAAGAACTTGGATTCTTCCCTAGATCTTTGAGAAGGACATAGGCTGACTGACACCTGGATTTAAGACTGTGCTGAGAACCCAACCATGCTGTGTCCAAGCTTCTGACCCTCAGAATTTCAAGATGACCAGTGGTTCTCATAAACCACTGTGTGTGTGGTCATTTGCAACAGACCACAATATTAGGTAGTGGTAGTAAGAAGTGCTCCCAAATGGGATACTTCGGGAGTAGAACTGCCAAGGAAGTGCTAACGAGTATAGAAAACAGAAAAATAACCATGGGGTGAGTGGGACCAATTGCCAAGGTGGGAAGACCCACCGGAGTGAAAACGTGAAGAGTTCTGTTTGGGATGTGTTGCTTGAGAGGCCAAGGGGATATCTGAAGAAGCCTTGGCCATGTAAAGCTGGAGCTCAGGGAAAAGTAGCTGGGGCTGGAGAGGAAAAGTCCAAGTCGTGGCAGAGATGAGAAACTCGAAAGTCAGGTGGGACCCCTGCCCGGCAACAGACAGGAGCCAACCACTGATAAGAGCAGCAGGGCTCTCAAGTGCTCTGTGCGAGTGAAGAAGGCGGACTTGGAAGCTACCTCCGTATGAGAACATCCATCAGATATTTTGCGTGTACGGGGGATTGAACCCAGGGGTTCTCTACCACTGAGCCACATTCCCCAGCCCTTTTTATTTTTTATTTTGAGACAGGGTCTCACTTAGTTGCCCGAATGGCAATCCTTCTGCCTCAACCTCCCAAGTTGCTGGGTTTATAGGCATGCGCCATGCCTGGTTATAAGTTACTCTAGAAAAGACAAAGCCATAGGGATAGAACTGCAGTTACCAGAGGCGAGGGGGCAGGGCAGGGGGGTGTGAACAGGAAGGGCACCGAGGAGAGACCTTGGTGGTGATGCAAACGTCCTGTGAAATCTCCACCGTCATGTGGCTGCCTGACTGTATGTACTTGCCAAAACTTGCAGAGGCACTCACTAAAAAGGGTGAATTTCAGTGTGTGGAGATACATAACAAAAAGAAAGAGAGAGAGAGAGAGAGAGAGAGAGAGAGAGAGAG